TTAGCGAAATTGCAGAATGCCCTTGCTTTTTTCACTTTTGTTTAACTCCTCCAGCTCTCCCATAGTCTCTACTCCCTGCCGCTGCAAGCGCTAGCAAAACGCTGGTGCCGCTGGAGAAACGCTCGAGAAACGCTGGTGAAGCTAGATCGATATCTATCCTTTCCCGGCACTGCCGCTGGCGTACGCTGGAAGCGCTACACGCTGCCGCAAAGTAAACGCAGCCTAAGCGACAGCATTAGATGGAAAACGAAGGGCACGAACGATGGTATAGTCTTGTAGCTTGCTGAAAAAAAGGCGGACATCGAGCCAAACTTATCCCTCGTTGACGCGCCCCATAATTAGCAGCGTACAAGACTGTAATATTCGCGATTTCACTCTCTACTTATTGTTAGGCTTTTACCTCTAGGTTAGCTACGCATTAGGATATTCTTGTGAGATGATAAAAACCACGACAGTCGGCAAGCAAAATGCTTGCATTGAAAAAATGAGCTCAGGTGCATTCAATTTTCAATTGAGGAACGAGTCTGAGGCGCATCCTGCAGAGAATCAACGCATTAAGGTGTTCTAAGAAGAGTTGGAGATTTACCTCATAATGGCCGCAATAGCCGTGAGGGCTACAGCGAGCAGTAGAATCATCACGTATACACAGCTGAGGTGATGGAGACGACCAAGCTGCCGTCTGATATACTGGTGGACATTGGAGTGTAGCCATTGCTGCACGCCCTTGACGAACTGTTTACACACCCCCGTACACACATGAGAGAGAGATTTGTGATCTCTGCGTGTTATCGGGGTACTGGTATCAACATGAAATGTTGTCTGATTTGTAGCGTGCTGTACCCTCACAAGGGAAGGATGGTAGGTCGAAGTGGCCATTTGAAATGAAATGTATACCGGCTGAAAGGTCTTCGGACGGGAATTACGAAACCGTCTTCCATATCTGCTGCGGACCTCCCAGAAAGAAGTTACGGAGCTTTTTAGGGGAGAATACACTACGTATTGGCGGCGTAAGGCTGACGAGATCGTGGCAGCATGGCCGAGTGGATACGTCGTAGGGCTCACGGATGCGCGGTCGAGGGTTTGAATCCTTGATGCGTGTGCTCTTTTGCATTTTTTCGAAAGTGTGCACTTCAAAGCTATTTTGCATAACACTTGTCCGTGA